TTCTAACCCCATAATGTTCACTCTGTAAGACATGTTTCATCTGAACATATTAAGCAAAGTTTCAAACTTTTACCTGTTATGGTCTTCATCACGTAGGTTTAAAAAATCTGGGTCCATGAAACTTCAACATTCAAAGACAAGTTGGGATCTTTTCCTTATTTAGTTGTGATTTGAATATTATCTGTGTTCTTGAAATAGCCCCTTTGATGAAGAGAGACGAATGAGATCTGTTTTATGCAAATACCTTCATTGTCTCACTGGTATGGAGAAGGCTGTTAATTCCTGGAATATTGTCCTTACAACTAATTAGGATGATCTGTAGGCAGACAGTTAGTCTGTCTCACAGTCCCTGAACCACATTATTTTCCCTACTGCCAAGCCCTCTCTGCAGTGCTAAAGCCCTAAATAAAGCAAGTCTAGATTTCCTCAGGTTCAGGTTCTCTGGTCTCCCTAGGGCTCCTTTTCAATTTAAATGGGCTTGTTTGTTATTATCAAAATTATATATATTCATGGACTAAGCATTAGTCTAGCAGACAGTTGGCAGTTCTTGATACACATGGAAACCTGCAGCCTACAAGTAAAGTAGAAATATTATTTAAAAAGTTGCAAACCATATTGTTTTATTGCATGATGTAACATTTGTAGACTTGGTTGTTTAAGCTTCTGAATTGCCAATAGTTAATCACGAAAGTCACGCAGCACCCTAATAATCAATATCCATTTCTAACATGATATCCAGAATCATGTTTTGTATAGCTCTTTAAACCTGAGAGTCCTTGGCCATTATATCCAATTCAAAAGAAGTCAGAGAACTCTGTGTTCCTATGACTGTAGTTTGGGTTTTTTCTCATGCGTTGACAGATTAACTATTGCCATATGAAAAGATTGGATGTTCTTACTTCGAGGAGCACATACTATCACTCTTATTTCTCTCTCCAAATATAGATCATTTGGACTAAATATAAAGTTGCTCCGTTTTTAATTCAAAACATTCAAAATTTGATTTCCATTAGTCTCTGAGTCACTTTGCCTCTTCAGGCTGTGAATGAAGAAACTAGCATTAAGAATATCATGAGTGGAGCCATCCTTCAGCCTTCCTACACAATCATCCCTTGAAAATGTGGAAATGTTTTCCTCAATGTGTTTCTGTTTCTTTGCTGAAAGTTGACAGCCGGAGTTCATAATCATGTCAGCATTCAGCCTCCGTTCAGGACCCCTTGATATTCAAAGTACACATGCCTCCCACACAGTCATGGAATTAAAAATTATCTGAGACCATCTCCTTGGCATCCAAGCTTCTCCAGGAGGACTATATATACATGGTGGAGTTAATATTAGATACGGCTTAAATTGGTTTATTGTCAAACGCAGAAAAGGCTGAGATTACATTATTGAGTGGCAACAAGAATGGCAGTTTAAGTTTGTGTCCCCAAATATTCAGTTCTGTTGTATCGGAGACAACCGGTGTCTGTCTATTACTGACATAGAGGCAAGGCTTGGAGTGGCATCATGGCGGCGTGGGGGCGGTAGTTTTCATTCATGGCATGATGTAAGCATTAAGTAGGGAATGTCTGAGAGTGACACCCAGGCTGGTTCTGTCAGATGATTATTGCTTCCTGGAGGGGAGATTGGGTGTGCAGAGCTTGGAGATTCAACATGGGCGATGACGCTATCATCTTGATAACAGGGATCAACCTCTGCTCATGTAACTGTACATGCTGTAATACAATGGATATTACCATAGGGTGATATAGCCCATATACAATTACAATTCAGCATGTTTTAATATAATAGAGATTAACATGGGGTGGTAGTATAGGTCATGTAGACTGACATGATTTTACATGTTGTAATATCGGGGATCAACATGGGTGATAATATAGTCCATATATACTGACAAGGCTGTAGTACAGGGGAGATTCACTAGAGGTGATAATATAGTCCATATACACTGACAAGGCTGTAGTACAAGGACGTTTCAAAAGAGGTGGTAATATAGTCCATATACACTGACAAGGCTGTAGTACTGGGGAGATTCACATGAGGTGATAATATAGTCCATATACACTGACAAGGCTGTAGTACAGGGGAGATTCACAAGAGGTGATAATATAGTCCATATACACTGACAAGGCTGTAGTACTGGGGAGATTCACTAGAGGTGATAATATAGTCCATATACACTGACAAGGCTGTAGTACTGGGGAGATTCACTTGAGGTGATAATATAGTCCATATACACTGACAAGGCTGTAGTACAAGGACGTTTCACAAGAGGGTGATAATATAGTCCATATACACTGACAAGGCTGTAGTAGATTCACTTGAGGTGAGATTCACTGTAGAGGGAGATAATATAATATAGTCCATATACACTGACAAGGCTGTAGTACAGGGGTGAGATTCACACTGAGGTGTAGTACTGGGAGATAATATAGTCCATATACACTGACAAGGCTGTAGTACAGGGGAGATTCACACACTGAGGTGATAATATAGTCCATATACACTGACAAGGCTGTAGTACAGGGAGATTCACAATGAGGTGATAATATAGTCCATATACACTGACAAGGCTGTAGTACAGGGGAGATTCACTTGAGGTGATAATATAGTCCATATACACTGACAAGGCTGTAGTACAGGGGAGATTCACATGAGGTGATAATATAGTCCATATACACTGACAAGGCTGTAGTACAGGGGAGATTCACATGAGGTGATAATATAGTCCATATAGTCCATATATACTGACAACAAGGCTGTAGTACAAGGCCATGTACAAGGCTGTAGTACAACTGATAGGGGGTAGATTCACTTCAGGTGATAATATAGTCCATATACACTGACAAGGCTGTAGTACTGGGGAGATTCACAAGAGGTGATAATATAGTCCATATACACTGACAAGGCTGTAGTACAGGGAGATTCACTGTAGTACAGAGGTGATAATATAGTCCATATACACTGACAAGGCTGTAGTACCATATACACTGGGGTAGATTCACATAATATAGTGAGGTGATAATATAGTCCATATACACTGACAAGGCTGTAGTACTGGGGAGATTCACATGAGGTGATAATATAGTCCATATACACTGACAAGGCTGTAGTACAGGGAGATTCACATGAGGTGATAATATAGTCCATATACACTGACAAGGCTGTAGTACAGGGGAGATTCACTTGAGGTGATAATATAGTCCATATACACTGACAAGGCTGTAGTACAGGGAGATTCACATGAGGTGATAATATAGTCCATATACACTGACAAGGCTGTAGTACAGGGGAGATTCACTTGAGGTGATAATATAGTCCATATACACTGACAAGGCTGTAGTACAGGGGAGATTCACTTGAGGTGATAGTATAGTCCATATAGAGTGACAAGGCTGTAGTACTGGGGAGATTCACAAAAGGTGATAATATTGTCCATATAGAGTGACAAGGCTTTCGATTTCCTTCAACACTGTGTGGTGACTTACACTTCACACTTTTACATATACATTGAGTAAATGTATTCTCACACAAACTGTCAATACTGAATACATTATCAAAGCTGTGACTCTGTCCTCCTGAAGTTGTTCTTTATATACATATGTTCATGGTGTAAATGCATTTATATACAGAATGAATCGCATAATAGCTATGTCACGTCCAATACTGCTGATAGAAGTTCAAATGTAATGTTGTGCTCTACGGCCCAACATTATTCCAGGCCTGCTAAGAAGCCGATACTTAGCTCCAAGTCTGGAGCAAATGTCAGAAAATAGTCTCCATTTCAGAGCTAAAGGTATATTTTACATTAATGTTAGATGTGACCACAATTGTGATGACATAATTGAGGTGATGTGTATTCCATGAATGACCAGTCCAATATGAAAGAAGAGGCTTTAATGTTAAGATACCTCTAAAGATATCTGGAAAAAAATAGGAACATTACAAAACTCCTTTTTTGAACATCATTAAATTTGTTTCCAGGGGAACTTAGTTTAGAATCTGATATAAAACCTGGGCTTCTGCTCTGACATGACTACTACAGGGAGGATTATACATAAATAATTTTGTAGTCGGTATGACTTATTTAACTATAGTAATATCTTTAAGCAGTTTCTTTAAGGTGACATTTTGCATTTTAATTTTCTTTATTTTATTTTTTCAAATTTTGTTAATATATGAAAGGTTATCTACTTTCATAAACAATTCACATGGACATGAAAGCATGTTGCCAACCAATGTTGAGACGCAGGAACATAGCAATGCATGTTAATATAATACAGGTAATTATCCAGTTCAAGTATAGAGGGGAGATTGTGAGGGATAGCTTTGAAGAATTTATGGGCATGATATTTGAGACTCCTGATTAAAGTCTGATTGCTTTGTCTGCGTCAGAATGTGTTCAGCAAGATGGTAAGGAGAAACCTCCATCTTCCATCTTGTTTCTAAGCATGCATAGTAGGCTAGGAACTTAAATTTCGGTTGAACGCATGTAATTTGTTTTCCATTTTTGTGTTCTGCATTTGTGTTATTGAGAGAGGGTTAAAAAACTCAAGAAAGTCTGGGGATTTTGTTCATAATCCTAATGTTTAAGAAATTTGAAGAGTGAAGGATTTTTGGGTGTTATTCCACTGTTTTGACTGAAAGCCAGATTGTGAGTGAGTGAGTTAAAATTTATCGTCACATCCTCAATATTTCAGCCATGGCGTGACAATAGAAAATTATATCACTAACAAGTATATGGAATATTTTTATAGGGAATAAAATACTGTCATCAATGGACACTATAACAAGAAGATTATCACATTTTATTTAAAACTAGTTTTGGAGCATATAAAATTGTAAACTGTTAATTAGCAACACAATATAAACCTGCCTACATGGATACAACTACATAAAATGTAACACTTTTCCATTTTCAGGAGAGAATGTTGAAAAGTTCAGCAGACTAAATATATAATACCAGCAATGTCACATAATATTTAACCCTATTTCAGATCATCAAAACTTCTTTGGCAATGATGACAATCTTGGCCCAGTTGCAATCAGTATTCGCCGGGAGAAGGTTGATGCAGACGAGCGGACAAACCATCTTGGCAAACCAGACTATGGGTTTTATCAGTACAGAATTATCTGCAGAACAAGTGAGGTAGGAAGAAGCTATGTGTGTAATCAAAGGGAGATAACTCTAGATACCAATATCCACAATGAGATTGTACTTGCATTTTCTGTTTTGTCTTCATATACCTGATACTCTGATATGACATTTTATGACACTATAATTTTTTTGGAAAAAGCATTAGTTCATTAAAGTTTCATCATCATTTAATGCCCCTTTATTATATATTTCATTGTGTCCGTGTGGTCTTGTCACATTCAGAGTTTTTATGTCTTCGAACTTCATCCAGACTAACATGTATGGAAAAACATTGATATTTTGGAAAGTTAGAATATATCCTGAATATCCAGAATATGTTTAAAAATTACATTTGTCTGTAAATTTATGAACTAAATTTAATCTTTCAGCTGACTACAATACGAGGATCTGTGATAGAGGATGCCATCCCCTCGTCAAGTCGACTCAGCAGTTCGCGTGGTGTGCCTGTCAAGGAAGTCCTTGAGTTTGCTTTGCCTGAAGTGCAACTATCTAGCCTCAAACAGGCTGTACCGGGCATGAAAACAGCTGAACAACTGCTGAAAGTGGATGAACAAGGGGTGAGACACTAGCTTACACACACATGCATAAATTTACATTGAACAGATAGAAGACATTTCATCTGAATAATCAGTTTGTGGATGGCATCTGTTTTGAGAGCAAAATTGTAGGGTGCTAATGATGAGTTAACCTTGGTATTATTGGGGATGGTTTGTTTGATTACATTGATCACAATCTGGAGTTCACAGATGAAGATGAAAGCAAAAGATAGAGAATCGTTTAAAATATTTGGTCTAAAATCAGTATCAGTAGTAGATCTGTTGTTGGATCATAGACCAGATTGTACATTTGCTGTCAGTAAAAACATTCAGGACAGGATTTAAGTAAGTTGGTATTTTTGTAAAGAGAATTATCAGAGTAGTCTGAAAGCTCAAATTATTGACAAGAATATCGTTTGTTGAATATGGTATATATTTGAAGATAACAAAAGATAATAGTTATCGATCAGAGTAGTCTGAAAGCCCAAATTATTGATCATCAAGAATATTGTTTGTTGAATAAGGTATATATTTGAACATAACAAAGATAATAGTTATCGATCAGAGTAGTCTGAAAGCCCAAATTATTGACAAGAATATTGTTTGTTGAATATGGTATATATTTGACGATAACAAAAGATAATAGTTATCAATCAGAGTAGTCTGAAAGCCCAAATTATTGACAAGAATATTGTTTGTTGAATATGGTATATATTTGACGATAACAAAAGATAATAGTTATCGATCAGAAAAGTCTGAAAGCCCAGATAGTGATTATCACTATGAGTACTCAGACCAGTAACCAGCAGTGTGTATAATCAATACAATCTTAGCAATTTCATGAGTTAATTTTAAGCTTGATAGAGTGACATAGTGTGAGGCTTGTGTCTGACCATGATGTTCTCTGTTACAGATCAGCAACACATACAAGGTGGGGATCAAGTACTGCAAGTCAGGGCAGGCTTCGGAGGAGGATATGTACAATAATGGTGAGCTGGCTTGTGAGGGAGTGAGCCTGTGAGTGAAGTAGTAGACATCAGCTTAAGAGCGAGTAGTTGAGTGAATGGTTAGTTTGGTTGTTGTTTAATGCCGCACTCAGCAATATTCCAGCTATATGGCGGAGGTCTGTAAATAAATCGAATCTGGACCACACAATCCAGTGATCATTAGCATGAGCATTGATGTACGTGGAATACGATGACGTGTCAACCAAGTCAGCCAGTTTGACCACCTGATCACGTTAGTCGCCTCTTACGACAAGCATGGGTTACTGTTCTGCTGAAGACCAAAGTGAATGAGTAGAGAGAGTGAGTGTTCACTTTGATCATGTTTTGTGTCGTCACTTGACTTGACATAGCTGGAATATTGCTGAGTGCAAAACCTCAAACAGTCCTTATACCATGTTAGTTAAACATGACACAGACAACAGTCATACATTTGATAATATATTGAAAGTCTGTTATCTGTTTCTGTCCACAGAGCACAGTTCCCCTGCTTTTGAAGAATTCCTCAAACTCATTGGGAAGAAGGTCAAGTTAAAAGGTTTCGACAAGTACAGAGGAGGGCTTGATTGCAAGAGTGAGTATTTTACATCAAGTTCTTGAAGGTTCTTCATGAGTAGTTTCATGGAAACATGCTGCATAACTTGATGCATAACAGTGGTGCCTTAGATTGCTTAAACCGTTCTTCTTCACTCATTTGATGTTTTTGTTGCAGCGGACTCCACCGGAACACACTCGTACTACACAACTTTCGAAAACTGTGAGATCATGTTTCACGTCTCCACTATGCTGCCCTTCACCCCAAACAACAGGCAACAGGTAAAGGATACAGTATAGACAACATAATTACCTAATTACTTTCAAGTCCAAAATATCCCTTGAACCATTCTAATAAACTACCTCTGAGTCAAAAGGCTGACTTGTTGTGATAATTCTGTTTCAGCTATTGCGTGAGCGGCATATTGGGAATGACATCGTGACAATCGTGTTCCAAGAGCCAGGGTCCCTCCCCTTCACGCCCAAGACAGTGAGGTCACAGTTTCAGCACGTGTTTATCATCGTCCAGGTGCTCAGTCCCAATACAGAGAACGTCCAGTACAGGTACATTTCAGCACAGAAATTGCTTCTCATTTTATTTTGGGCGATGTTGTAGCCTAGTGGTTAAAACATTCGCTTGTCACGCGCCGTAGACTTGGGATCGATTCCCCACATGGGTACAGTGTGTGAAGCCCATTTTTGGTGCCCCCCGCCGTGGTATTGTTGGAATATTGCTGAAAGCAGCGTAAAACTAAACTCACTCACTCACACTATTTTATTTCTTTAGGGAAATCCAAATATTGGAACAGAAAATAGACTAAAGATGTAAATTTTAACTTTCCATAATTGCTTGTTTCAAGAGTACACTTACATGAGAGCTTGGTCATAATATGGCTGGAACCTTGCTTGAATACTGAAGACTGTCGCATAATTTTTTTTAATTCACTTACTGTTATGATTATTGCACTAATAACTATAACTAGCTAATTATATTTCAAAATCTGTAACTTAAACATACACCATACTGCTCTCTCTCTCTCATTACTAATAGACCGCCTCCGTGGTGTAGTGGTTAGAGCGTCCGCCCGTAGTGCGGAAGGTCGCGGGTTCGATCCCCGACCGCGTCATACCAAAAGACGTTAAAAATATGGTACTTGTTGGTCCCTGCCTGGCGCTCGGCATTAATGGGTACAACAAGGACTGGTCTGCTCTGAGTCAGAATACTGTGTCTGAGTGGGGTATTCATGCTTCACTGCGGCATGGTATCTCGGTGGGCTAGCACTATAAAACCAGCTTCAGTCTGGGCTAGTACAAGAAGCCGCACATACACATACACACGCATGCACGTCGTCATATGAGCGAAATATTCTCAAGCACGCCGTTAAACCCAATTCCACTTCCACTTCATTACTAATATGATAGTATCATGGTGATGATACATGGGGATGGTGGGGTGGCCTACTGGTTAAAGTGTTCGCTCATTATGCTGAATACCTGGGTTCGATTCCCCAACATGGGTACAATGTGTGATGCCCATTTCTGGTGTCCCCTGCCATCATATTGCTGGAATATTGCTAAAAGCAGAATAAAATCCATACTCACAATGTAGCCAAGTGGTTAAGGTGTTCACTTGTCATGCCAAAGACATGGGTTCAATTCTCCACATGGTACATTGTGTGAACATTTTATGGTGTCCCTCACCATGATACTGCTGAAATATTATTAAAAGCTGTGTAAAACCATACACAGTCACTACAATAGTAAAGGTATTGGATTAAGACACAGTCATAATATGATGAGGATGTTTTTGAAGCAGAACTTACATCTATCATATGGCATTGAAATAAACTAATTTACTTGTCATCTTTCAGAGTTTCTGTCACAAGATCCAAAGATGTGCCACCATTTGGTCCACCCATACCTGAAAATGCTTCATTTACAAAATCAGCTGAATTTGTCGACTTCCTGCTTGCAAAAGGTTTGTGCTTCAATACATTAACAAAAGGGATAAATACAACCCTCCTTGGTATGAATAACATTTAATATCAGTCTAAAGGGAGACAATCCTTGAAATGAAAGAATCCCTTTTACCATTTAACTGTTACTCCTTCAAGTGGAGAACATGATATTCGCATACAGAGCTTAATCTGCAAAAAGGCAATATATATATATGCTTTGCATTTTTACACAAGAGACATTGAAATAATTATTTTAATCAGAATTTCCTGTTCTGTTGGTTTCAGTGATAAATGCAGAGAATGCAGCACACAAGTCTGACAAGTTCCGAGTGATGGCGTCACGTACACGCCAGGAGTACTTGAAGGACCTTGCAGCAAACTACAGCTCAGCAAATTCTTTAGACTCAGGATCCAAGCTAAGTAAGTGTTGCTCATTCAAAAACATTATGATAAAACTTTTAATATGTTTTCAAATAAAGTCAAAGCCAGATAATAAACACTCTCCATCTACTTTAGGAATTAATTTGGAGTTGCAAGGCAGTTTAAGACCTCTTTAGTGGTTCTTTTTAAGATTTGTGGTGTCCCCAGCCGTGATGTTGCTGTAATATTGCTAAAAGCGGCGTAAAACCAAACTCAGTCAGTCAGTTTCAGTTTTAAGATTTGAATTTTTCTCCAGGTAAGTTTGCGCTCGGCAGTGGACGGAAGAAGGAGAGAAGCAAGCAGAAAGTGGTTCCTGATCTGTTTGCTAAGGGCGGCATTGTCTGGAATGTGCAGGTAAGTCACACTGACAGTCAGTGTACTGTGTCTGAGTAGGGTCTTCATGTGACAACTGCAGTATGGTTTCTCAGTTGGTCAACACAGTATCATTGATATCAGTGTGGACAAGTACGAAAAGATACACACACCTATAGATACCATGTCGCACCACATCACACCACACCACACCACACCACATCACATCACATCACACCACACCACACCACATTACACCACACCACACACCACCACACCAATCTTGGGACACAATGCTAAACCCCACTTTCCTCATCCTAACTTTTTAAGATCTGGATATAGCCAAACTGGTAATGCCCAATTCCTTTGAACAAGCATGAACTGTATGTGAGTCTGTCTGAATGTGTTCTTCATTACACAACGCCATTTAGAAAGCTTTCAAATGTAACGTGTTATATTTGGGATTGCACTTTCTTAGTAAAGTACAGATTTCTTGTACTTTTGTTGGTTCGAGTCCCATCCGTTATTCAAACCCACACCCTCACACCCTCCGAGTCAGGCATCTAATCACCAGCACACAAAGTCAGCCGCAGTGGCTGAGCAGGCTAGACGGCTGACTTTGTGTATTGGTGATTAGTTGCCTGACTCTGAGTGTGTGGGTTCGAATCCTGGATGGGACTCAACCCAACAACAGTACTAGAATCTGTACTTTACTAAGAAAGTGTAATCCCAAATTAAACATATGTTATGAATGTGTCCTTGTTGGTGTTGTGCAGATCGAGGACTACAGCAACGCGTCACAGGTGGAGTGCCTGTTGGCAATGGCGGCTGACACTGTGGTGCTGATGGAGGAGGGAAGCAAATACATCATCTTCACCATCCCCTGCGGCACCGTCATTGGCTGGACGTTACAGGGCTCCAGGTGAGTGATGGAACTGGCAACAGTAGAAATACCTTCCAGGAAGAAGACTTTATTTGGGATATTTAACTTGAAATGAAATGTTAGCGCAAGGGTAGATCACCTGATCACAAGGGTCAGCAAGTTTTGGCATTTTGCTGCTCATTGCCTGAGTAATATATTGTCAACAAAAGTCTTTTGTAAGGTTATATTTTGGAAAAATCAGATTTTCTGTTGTTTGGATTAGTTTTTGTTGAGATTTTATGTCACACTTTATTTTGTTTTCAGTTTACGTCTGTACTTCAACCAAGGAGAGTTCGTTCTTCTTCGACCAATCAGTGGCGAGCGGGAGGAGATGGATGAAATAATCAGTCGTCTGTCGGCCATTACACAGGGGTCAGAGGTAGGTCATGTGACTTCTTCAATTACACAAGTATGCGTACTCATATCCTCATCAGGTGTCATTGAATATGCTTTTGTTCATAGCAGAAGTAGTATATAGACAAGTAGCATATATCTTTTAAGGAACTACCCATCTAATGATAAGTAAGGATGCGGTATTTAGATCACCAGCAGGGGATTTCAGGTGGAATATGGCTCAGGGGTATAAGCATCATTCACATTCAATTTCCTACAGTGTACCATATATAATGTCCATTCAGAAAGCCCCTAGATATCTTGTAGCTTGAGTACTGCTCAAAGTCCATTATTAATATCTGGGTTAGAATAAACCTGTTACAGTTGTAAGAGAGATTAGTGTTTTTGTTTGTTTGTTTGTTTGTTTGTTGTTTAATACCACACTCAGCAGGATTCCAGCTATATGGCAGTGGTCTGTAAATAATTGAGTCTAGACCACACAATCCAGTGATCAATAGCATGAGCATCGATCTACGCATTTTGGTTACGATTACATGCGTCAGAGACTAGTGTGATCTGGTGACTTGGTTCATGCATGCTATCCTATCCCGACATTGTAGATCATTGGACTTGATGTTAATCACAGAATTATCTGGTCCAGAATCAATTATTTACAAACTGCCATCATACGGCTTCAAACAAACCACTTTCACTCACTCACTCACTGCCTTGTATCTGCAGACACTGGAGATCAACCTGCGTCGGAACGGCCTGGGTCAGCTCGGCTTCCACATCCAGTCCGAGGGCATTGTGACGGAGGTGGAGGAACATGGGTTTGCCTGGTCCGGTGGGCTCAGGAAAGGCAGCCGATTGGTTGAAATATGCAAAGTGGCCACAGCCACACTCAATCATGAACAGATCGTAGATCTACTCCGGACATCACAGCCTGTTAAGGTGGTGGTTGTGCCCCCTCTTGAAGATGGATCACCAAGGTGAGACAACTCTTGATGTCAATAAATTCTCAGATTCATAGATTTCCATTATGTACAGCTATTTATCGATAAAATCTGAGAAAATTCAAAATGTTTTGTTCCTTGTGTCGAGGATTAAGTTTCAGTCAATAAACTCTGATATATTGTAAATAGATCGTAACAAAAAAGATGACATGTAAGCAAATCAACACAAGTTTGAAGTAGACTGTAGATAATCAGAGTTTCAGGTATTAAGATTGAGAGTGCTACAGGATGAGTTTGAGAGCCGGGTTGACGTTAGTTTTGTCGGTTACTATTCACAGAGGCTTCCTTACCCTCAACTCGCACTTCCATTATTCCTCCATGGGGGCTCTGAATGCCCTTATTCTCTCTGAGCGTGTTCACACTCAGAAAGAGACTAAGTACAACAGCCAGAGAAGCTCCCTAACACTGCCGTTACAGAAAAAGTCTAGGTACTCGTCATCCTCATTTCATCTCATTGCCACATCGCTCACAGCTTGTGCTAATGGATAACACCCCCACCTTCAAAATGGAACTGTCCTTTTCTTCATTTTGGTGTTGATACATTGGATAGATAGGATATTTGGAATATTCTATTTCTACTAAAAGGGGATGATTGCTTATATCTTGCTTGCCCTGCTGTTACATTAGTAGATGTTTGCCATGTTTTACTAGATTTAGTTACGTCTTTTCTTTCACCCGTCTGCCTCCCTGTCCTGCTTGTCACTTCATTCTTCATCCTTCATTTTCATTTGCCTTGCCGCCGCCATCATCACCATTCACAGCTATTATCTGTGTTGTCATGGTGATTGAATGATGTTTCATGGATTGCTAATTTCTGCATGGTTTATTCAAACAGTTGTTTTATTTTCTTACTTGGTGAGCAGGAGTTCTTCAAATTTGATTCAGTTGCATTTTGATTTTGAGGGTAGACTTTGTTTCTTGTTTTGCTGATGTTCAAGACCAACAAGCAGGGTGAAAACTTAAAACATTGTTTCAATGACTGTTATGTGCAATACTGAGAGTTGATTTTTAAAGCTGTATGTGAGAAAACAGCCATTAACATAGTGCTAATTCACAAAACAAGAAAAGAGATTCATCTGACTTTAACACTGAATGATTTATTTTCAGTTTCTTTGTTTTTGTTTTGTTGTTGATCAATATTTGTTTATAGGTACATGGGTTTGTCAAAATAAAAAAACTACCTTCACCTGAAGGAATGCTAGCACGTTCAAGAAAATGCTTACTTAAGGCTTTCTCTATCTCTGTGCTTTTAACGTGAAGCTAGATTTTTAAAGATAATAGATGTGACTTTAAGTAAAAGAAAAATGTAAATTGTAAACTGAAGGTTTAAGAAAGTAGCTTGATTCGTTCATATGTTTAAAGATGACTGAACATCTAGCCTGCATGATGAGATTTTACTTATTTTGAAGTGTCCCCATAGTGACTCTCCTTAGACCCCCAGTGTGACTCTGCATGTTGTCACGTCATCAATAGAATAGAATGAATAGATCATAAACAAATGTTTAACTGTTATTGAAATTTAAAAGTTAATTATTTTTTTCTACAATTATCATAAGTGACACATAATGTGTTGTTATGGAAAGGGGCTTTGTTATAAATGATTGTTGGTTTTAACACCATTTTGTAATCGTGAATGATCTTTGCACAGTTTTAATGTTTTGAAGTTGATTATCCAATACGATTTGGTATCACCAAGGATGATAAAATGTTTTGGATTTACAGAGGAGGCGGCGACATGAAGACCCCATCTCCACGAAGTATCGTGGCGTCACAACATTCGTCAGATTACGAACTGAACAATCGTTACCCGACTCACGCATACACCGACTCGACACTGTCGTCTGGTCGGGGTTCAGATGATGGTCGATTGTCCCACTACAGTCAACCTCAGCAGGATGTATATGAGCCATATCGCACAAGGGGAGGCAACCCTGATGGTCACGTTAGCTCCGGGGACGAGTTACATTCTAGAAGTGGATCACATGATAGCTCAGATTATTCTCTCTCGGGTAAGTAATTAGTTGTGATGTGTTACAAGTGATCTTGAAACTGAAACACACAGGTCTGTCCACACAGAAATGAATTGTTAAGTCAGTATATGGCCACAAGGGATCACTCAATGATCTATAAATTTTGTTTATACACACAGTATCAGGTTTACAGTCAGAAAGTCCGCACAAGTTAAGGTTTGTTCTCACAGTGAGTCTGGTAGTATCAACTTATTGCATACGACTTGTAGTAGCAATGAAAATCATAACGACTTTGAGTTTTATGAAGTTCTTAACTCGCATCCAACTCATATCTCGTGAGATTCACATGCAAGATTCCGCAACATGGATATGTCACGTGGAGAAGAGACACTAGCATTAATGGCAAGACTGCATCACAGTCACTGAAAAAAAAGCCTTAAACGATGGGTGTTTGTAACGGGATTCTCAAGTGAAACAATGTTCAGTTTCTCTACTGGCAACATCAAGTTTCTTCAGTCGTGTGTCTGGCATGATTTCAACACAGACACAGGGATGTCTCTCAGGTTAACACAGAGCTAAGAGCTTGCAACTTGAAGTAGGAATTAGGACAAGTCCTGTGTCTTACAACTCCATGAAAGTGTTATGATTTGTTCTGTCATTGCAACTGTGTTGCAAACTACAAGTTTATACTACAAGTCACACCATGAGAATGCAGTGATGGTAGCAACAAGTAGCAGGCCCTAGAATTATTTTTAGTCTGTTCACAAATGTTCATGATCTTGTCACTATTGAATGTCTTGGAAGATGCTTGTCTCTGTGCTTAAACCTGGATTAATGTTTGAAATATGCAGGATTTCTGTTTCTTCAAACTGATATTTCAAACTTGGCAAGTATATCAGAAACAAGTAACCTCTAAAACACTTACATCTAGTCATCTAGAAATAGTCCCATCCAGAAACTTCCTGAATGATCAAGCCCGCCACGGGGGCAGATAACTACAGTTCTAGCACAAAACCACTCTGGAAAGCTATACTTGCTGTCTACAGCTGTTCAAATCTGGCCACAACAAGACTTGATATATTTATCCCCCTGCTTACAAAGTAATGGGGATATATAGTGTTCATTCTGTCCTCCTGTCCATCTGTCCTTCCTTCCATCCTTCCATCCCTAAACTTTGTCAGGAGTATATCTCTTAAATTTTACATGCTAGGTTCACCAAAACTTAATAATGGCCAACAAATGTGCCTTTAGCTATTCTAAAATTTATCAGAATTTAGTTTTTGCTGTTTCTATGAAAAACACCACTTAGTGCAAAATATGTTTGATGGTCCGGAGCATATCTCTGAAGCTATTCATGCTAGGTTCAATTATTAATGTAATCAGTAAATGGCAAAATTATGTAACAAATGTATAAAGTCTAGTAGAGTCAAGGAGAAAGTCTTGTGAGCTGCTGATCCTTGTCACATTATATATATCAATATCAGTCATTTCCATGTCCCAAAGTGGGAAGCGGGGTATGTGAACTGTGCTCACTTCTACACTTCTTTTACTTGTAGTTTAGTCAAATGGTTGATGCAAGTGATTGTATTCGAGTTACTTAGATCTTAGTCATGATATCAATCACAGGATTGTCTGATCCAGGATTTGTTTAAACACCACCTCATATAGCCGGAATATCACGTGGCATTAAGCATCCAACAAACCAACGATACTGCCTGGGTTTGTGCCCTGATTGAAGTGGCCCAGACAAAACATTCTGATCTGTTTATCAGGACATTTGCTTCCGGAGATACAAGATAGTCCTGAAAGAATATTAGCATAAGATGATGCTTATGTTATCTATATGATAACCTGTTCAGTAAACTTGATAACAGTTCAATAAATATGGAAATTAGATGACCTGGCAGGAACTACTTTTAGATAGGTTGTCCTATGAGTACTAAAAGATGGTTTAGGAAATTCACTCAATCATTGTATTTATCCACAGTTTCTTGAGTTACTTTAGTGAGAGAACATGAATTATGTTTATAATGACACATGATATAGAAATTATTACCCAAGCATGTTTTCATCATGAATGTATGGACAGAAGTGAGTGGTGTCGCCAAGATGAACTCTACCAAGCCAGCTATTGTTCCTAATGAATGTCAGTATATCCTGAGATTGCATTGAGTTACAAAACTGTCAATATTTCATGCATCATGGAATCTTTGTGGCAGTAGAACATGTGAATATGAAGGATCACAAAACTTTTGGAAGCCATCAACAAACCTTTGATCAACAGAGACCAAGGGTGTTGCATGCCACCATACTTCATAAATTAGCACCCCATCAGCTTGTTTTTACTGTTTTTAAAACCTAATCCTTCCTGTTTATTGGCTTCTTGGCCCGTGCTGTTTGTTATTCTTACTCCCCACCTGGCCTCATCCAATTATGTACCACGGGATCAGGTGGACAGTTTTGCTGACTTGGTTGACACATGTCATCGGTTCCCAATTGTGCTGATCGATGCTCATGCTGTTGATCACTGGATTGTCTGGTACAGACTCGATTATTTACAGACCGCCGCCATATAGCTGGGATATTGCTGAGTGCGGCGTAAAACTAAACTCACTCACTCACTCAATTATGTACCAACCGTCTCTATGGTGTAGTGGTTAGAGCGGAAGGCCATGGGTTCAATACCCAGCCGCTTCATACCAAAAGACTTTATGGTATGGTACTTGTTGGTCCCTGCCTGGCACTGAGCATTAATGGGTCCAACAAGGACTGGTCGGCTCGGAATCAGTATAATGTGTCTAAGTGGGGTTTTCATGCTTAACTGCGGCATGGTATCTCAGTGGGCTAGCACTATAAAACCAGCTTAAGTCTGGGCTAGTACAAGCACCCAAACATACACACGCATGCACGTTGTCATATGAGCGAAATATTCTTAAGTATGACGTTAAACCACATGTCACCAATTATGTATCACTTGCTATTTAATGACATGCTGTTGTTATTGTTAATCTTATGGTTGTAACATCATACAATGTATATGTCAGGGTAGAGACTCCGATTGCAATCTCTACCCTGACATATATATACTTCTCAACACTTGGTTGTAGTCACTTGTAGCTTGATAACAGCGTAAGAATCTACACTAAAACATTGCTCTATGCAATAAACAAGAAGTTGTTATCCATTAAGTCACATACTTTATTATTGTTACAATTTCTTTTCATGATATATGACAGGAAAAAAACATTAAGCTGAAAATTCATTGCCAAATGTTTGAAATTTTCAGGTGCTTAATCCAAAACATCCGCCCACCCACATTCTTTGTATGTTTTTGTGGCAATATCCATTCTAGCATAATACACTACTCAAAACAGACAAGGAACATTGTGATCCTTTCATGTTACCATTGATAATCTGACACATTCTTCTCTTCTTTTGAGTAGCACATGTTTTCTTGGGATCATAATTCCAGCCATACACAACTATATATTTTTTAACTCTTATTAACACATTAATGTTGGTAACATTGCAACAGAATCATTTAACCATACTGCTCGACACCTCTCTATTACTGTCAGTGAAGTTTGGTATGAAGAACACATGTGAGAAATGGTGGGGAGCTCATTACCAAAGCATGACTAATGCTCCGACAGTAAAAGTGGTATTTTATGTTATAGCGAGGAATGCTTGTGTTATAGTGAGGTATATTTATGCTATAGTGAGGTTTTTGATGCGAGGGTGCAATTTGTGCCCTGTTGGAAGTCTGCCTGCTTTGAGAATCACATCCCAGTATAACTACTTTCAGACTCATAGTATGTCTTGCATTCTGAGTTTGTTGTCGATCCTAGCACTGCAGTCATGAGTAAGTACGTCGGGACACATGGGCAGGTTTTACAGTGGAGGGGAACTGGTTTACATAGGACACACATACTATCCTATTCCTAAAGTATTCCACCAGAGTTAAGTTAATTTCTGAAATTGGAATTTTCTGAACTATGAGTATTTGATGTAATCTGTTTCTGAAGATTTCTACTTTGTGATGTTACAAAAGTGCAGATCTGCCGGTTTTGTAACACATGGCTATTTATAACTTTTAAATTGTATCTCTATTTGAAAAGCATCATTGTTTCGATACCAGTATCATCAGAGATTTATTCTTATGCCAGTTTGCAAAATATCCCTTTGGTAATTGACGTGATGGGTACCAACAGGCAGGAAATGTTAACAGGCTGCGGTCTAGTTGTGGAGGATGTAGAGTGTTTTTATTGGATGTAGCATGTGGGGGATAAGCCTAGTGTTGATGTTGAGCCAGGAGGTGACAGGACACATAGCTGTAGCGTGATGCTGTATCCTTGTCCTTCACCCAGTCTGGCCTTTATTCTCTTCTTTCCTGTCCACTGTCTTCTTTGGTCACATCCTCACTACCCCCTTTCCAAGATGACCCTAATACACTCCCCAGTACACATCTATTTCCCAATGTGACCCCCATCCTTTTACCCCGACATGAAAAGTACCCATCCCCCAAATACACCCCAATCTCTCCAGATGAAACCTCTCATGTTCCACAATCCAATGCCCTCAAGTCACAGATGACTCCTACCCCACCCTGAAACCTAGTGTTGGGAATTGGTTAAAATCTCATAATTGATGATTGGTTCATTACAACCGATCAATCATCGAAAATAATTGGTTAGCGTCATTTATCAAATGTTCCTGTTTTCTTTGTTAATGCACACACAAAAAATAAAGAAAAAATATGTAGTAATTTGAGTCTTTTGCAAATTGCACAAAATTCAATGGCAAATTTCGCATATTCAAAAGGATGATTAGTATGTTAAGAACACAGATTTCCTGGATTCTTTAAGATAAATTCAATCATGACTTAGAACGAGCTTGTAATGCTTATGAAATGTAAATTTAATGACACAGACAACACCTACCTTGTGTAAAATATTGTTGATGCAAACAAGTGTTCCCAAATTGGTTGTGTTCGATTATGAGAAAACACAATCGATTGCTTGGTCGTTTAGGCACTGCGA